GCTAAGGCTCGCGAATTCGCCACGGGCTACGTTCCTCGAAACGTTCGCTAGTTGCCACTTCCACCCCTTGTCCGTCTTCCATCCTGTTCCCGATCACTCACACGGCTGCTCCCTTTCGCATCCTGTTGCTTTCCGCCCCCTGAATTCTCGTACGCCCACTCTCCAGCAAGGCACAAAGCGCAACTATGAACCGCAGTCCCTGTATGCTGGTCTGATTAGTCCGAAGACCGATTCGAATCGAGTGAAATTGTTTCACGAATTATCGGAGAATTCCTTTTAGTCAAAACGAGATACATTGGCTTTCCTCTCGGTGGTGCAAACACAAGGTTTTTTTGTATAATTTTAAAATGGAAACCTGCATGACTCACAGGGAGCTATCAAGGGATATATAGTTGGCTTTTTATGGTTCTTTTTTGGGGAGCGTTATCAAGGTAACCGTTGTTTACTTTTACGGAGCAGCTTCTTTTTATGGTGATCGTAAAATGTCTGGAGCTCGTCGGAGTGACACACCGAACACGAAGAGCTATGTGTCTCTTGGGCTGGTAAACACGGTTTTTGTAATCCTTCGATAGGAATCATTCAGACCGGGTTCCGGTCCGAGTATAAAAAATGTATGTCGAGTTGAGGGTTGCCTGAATGGCTCTATTCCCGAGAAAGTACGTTGCTGTAAAATAATCCTTTCAGAAAACGTATATAGTCTGTCTCTAAAAAAAACTTTACCTCTATAACTTATCGGAAAAGACACTTTCAACGATACTTTAAAAAATACAGCAACGTTTTTATTCGAAAAATCTTACGAACGTCTTGGAAGTTGAAGTACCACTCGAAGGAGTCATGGTTAACTTTAAGCGTGTAGAAACTACTTGAGATGAACACAAAGCGCATCTGTCATGAGTAACGCCTCGATCTCCTTTCAGACAGTTCTGCACGGGGAAAAACGAAAGACGGTGGAACGTGCGAGGAGATACTGTCTTCCAAAAGAAATTAGTAAGACAAAAGGAACAATTCTACTTTCAAACGATCTCTACTAGAGAAAACAACGACCTGGACTCAGCGTAATTGCATTCTTCCCTGGCGACTCGGTGCTGGTAAGTAACTATCTGAGCGCCAAGAAATCTCGATTCGCGGTTTATTCGAGACCTATTTTTACCTCACCATCGTCGCAGCAATTGGAACGCGTCCGGTCGGCTAATTCGATCTGCGAACATTTGGTTTCATTGCGCCATCACCGCACCAGGATATAACCAGTAACGTACATCCTAGCAGTAGGAAGCGTACTCGCGTTTACGTTCGCGAATGTAATTTAATTCGTCCAAGAATTCTCTCGTTTCTCCTCTTACGCGCCCTCTTTCTCCTGACATTCCTGGCTAATGGAGGAACTTTTCTAAACCAAATCTCCAGGACTCTTCTTGACGTTCTTGTTTCCTCTGTTCGTACTTCATATCGCCGGTTCGCTACAAAACTGACACGACTAAGGAAAATTAATTTTCAGGAAATTAGTTTAGATCTGCATAAAAAGCACGAAGTTTAAATTGGAAAATTATTAATATCGGTCGTTCGGGGATGAACGAACGCTACTTTTCGTAAAGAAGAAGATTGTCTTTCAAGCCTTTACTAGATTCCTTTCAAATTGATTTTACTTTAAAGTTTCTGCACTTGATACTATGTTTTCTGTAAACTACCCTCTAAATGTGAATCATATGGTGAAAACTGGTTCAAGCTGTCCGATACAGGGAGAAATAAGTGTTCGCGAAGTATCGAGGTTAAAAAAGAACTGTTCTGCTTGCCTCGTTTTATCTCTCACGTATATTATATTCGAGGATGCGTTGCCCGATATCTGGCGACGAGTTATCTTTTAAGACGCTTCCGGAGACCTTAGTTCTACCCCGAAAATCCGGATACGTTCAATGCTCTGTAATCCTTCGGTAAATACGTGCCTTTGTGGAAAACAGGAAACATGTGAATACAGGTAAAGCCGATTTAATCTTCAACTTCCCTTCAGACCCGACGGAGTAGTCTCAGAAACGAAACTCAGAGTTGGTTGTAGAGGTAGTAAATCTAGCTACGTTAAGTAGCCAGGCACACCATCTACTTCGTGACCATGAATCCGGTTCACGTTCTTCGTCATGACTTTCCACATAGTCGAGGAAAATATACGCGTTCCTAACTTGCCTCTTCTCTATCTTTAGCTTTGCATTATTAACAAGTCCTCGTGAATTATGGAATTGAAACAAGGAAATATCAGAGAGTTTGTTACGACGTTTGTACACGAGCAACTAATTGGCATTCCAATCCAGGGATTCGACGACTGAAAGTAGTTTAGCTACTTTCCATCCAGTTTTACGACAAACATCACGCTATTGCCTAGCCACCGTATGCTAAGGAACGATGTACTTTCTAAATGCAATGCTTCGCAGAAGGGGACATATATTGCGTACGTTCCCTGCGGTTGTAACGTCCGAATCATAAACCCAGTTAACGGTTTGCAGCGCAACGTTGACGGAAGCGACGCAATCGATAGGGCAACTTCATCCCCACATAAAAAAAACCACTGAGATGCTTTACGACACCGCGTAGCAATCCTTACTTCCAACATTTACGATCTGTGATTATTTCTAGAAGTAACTCCACTTTGCAGTTATAGTAATTCTTGCATAGTAACTAATCGACTACTAAAATGTTTGTTGTGTACGATTTTTCTATGAACGTACCTCGATTTTGACTTTTCGAAAGTTTTACCATGTATTCTGGATCGTCATCTTGCATGAACATGTAATTCAGATTCATCGACTTTTAGCTATCCAGATCAGTTATTATGTTTTATGCGAGATTCGCAAGTGTCTTAATACTTATTACGAATCTAATATTTATATCGAGAAATGAATCGAATAGCCAAAAACAATTGCCCAGTATAATATTTTTACCATAATTCGATGGTCGGAGGCTGTCTATAAAATTTATGGGGAATCCCTCTTCAAAGGGCAAAACGAAAGCAATATTTGTTCGAAGACAGGTCGGGTCTTCGATTTAAGCAACGAGAGCCCGGGGCTATTAAAATGGATTTAGCCGCGTTCCGCAAGGGGTTCGAAGTATCTACCGGATCCGGTGTTACGTGTGCACTTTTGCGCCGAGAGACGTTTCAGTTAATGACAGTGCATTTCTGTCGAGTTTAATGCGAGCTCAGTGTGAGATTTCAGCAAAATCCGGCGCAATACGTTTTCTTCTCCAGTGCCACACGTCTCCTAGATAGCCCTAGTGATTTTCCACGATTTCGTGTGTACGCTGTTTCCATTCCCCGCTTATCGTGCTCGATCTCCCTCCCTCCCTTTTCTTCCTTTCCCTTTCAAGAAGAAATTGTGTCTCGCGTTTTCTTGCCATTCGCAAAGCACTTATCCAAATGCACGTTCCACCCGTCGAACTCGCGAATACGAAGGCAACGAATAAGGCCGATTCGCTTCTTTTGCGCGAATGCCGTCATCGTAAAACTAGGTTGCGGATGTACCGTATAAGTGGCTGTTCGTCCCAACGTTTTCCCAGCGTGGGGATCCAAGCTTTTGCTTTTTACCGAGTTCACCGGTCGATTTTCTCCTTCTAGAATACTGGCGAATACCATCGAGAAACTGAGAGTTCAATGGTGAAACAGTGCAGACGCAATGGTTCCTTTTGCTCAATGAACCGAACAATTCTTGTCGTTATTTTTGATCCACAGCGAGAAATTATCACCGGTCACAGGCGGTGAACAATGACCTGTAGAGAATGGGGAACGCGGTTTCTTTCCGCGCAACTCGTTCCAGCAATATCGCGTAATGGGACGTTTGGTTAGCCTGTCGCTATTTTTGATAATGACATCGAACTTTAGCCAGATATGCAAATCGTCTGTCACACGTGATATATACAGAGCAGAATTTTCCAATTCTCCCTACCGTTGTTGCGTAATGTTCTTTAAGCGCTGCTTATTTGTAACATCTATAATTCAACTGTCTTCCTTACGGTCCAACCAGCAAGATACGATGCATGAATTTTCCTCCATCGAGTTTATACCAGTCGGGCTACGCTCCAATCTTCTAAGCATCGTCTAAATTCTCTTTGAACGTAGTTCTCGTATTTGTATATCTTGGCCGCGGTGCACGCTACGATTCGTAGTTACAAAGCTATACATTGCGTCTCACTGGATGTTCTTTCAGCAAAAATCCTTGGCTCGTCCGAACGCACTGGACTGCGCATCGAGTCCAGAAATTCGGGGTACCGAAATAAATCTCTGCGAAATGACTATGAACAGGAGTATGCATATACGTACAATGTAGAATAGGATGAGATAACCAAGCGATAGAGTTGCAAACAATTCCTAAGTGATGATCGAGTGAATGTTTAGACTAGGATAAAGATATCAAGTAAAGAATGATTCGTACAATTCACATGAACGCGTGGTCTGTCACGTTGGCTGCACGTGATAAGAAGGTGTACTGTATGAGCGGTCTGCCAGAATTAAAGAGATATTTGCAACAACGAAAACGAAAATCGACCTAATTGAAATTGATCTTTCTTTATTAACTTTTAGCACCGATTCTACAAATTTCTGCTTGAGAAATGGCCCGCTAACTGGTTAAATTACGTACACGATAAAGATTAATTAACACGTTAGTTACTATAGTGGATTGTAACAAAACGTGTATCATAAATCTTTAATAGTGCGGTATATTTTTATCGCCAGCGATAAATATTTGACATATCTTTTTAATCAAACACGACAGTTATATATACTATATATATATTCATTTATTCTGCAACTTAAAATAAAATCCAAGTTTGGTAACGAAGATATTGGATAATAATTGATCGATCGTTTGTACGTACCCAAAGTGGAAGTTCCGGAAACAGCTGCCCTTGCTTCCATTGTTAAATCGATATTCTTAATGTCAGTGACAATTTAAACGATCGTAAATTGAATTGTCGGAACTACTAAATTACCTAAAGTACTCTACGTTAGTAACGATTTACTATTATAACTTTTCGTTCTTTTCCTAATAACGCATGCAAATAATAACTTTGATGTGGCAATAAATAGTACCTTCTTACTGCAGTGTCTACACAAGCGAGTCTCAAATTTATAAGACAGTCGTAACAATATCTTAATTTATTTATTCTCGAATCATCGTTTATTCGAATCCTCGAACTTTGCACACTTTCTGCGTGAAATGTAACCCGTTTGTTGGCCATGTGCCTATTTTCATTGATCGTATTCGAAACCGTATACGCGTGTCGGGAAGTATTAGTTTCGCGAAATGCGATTCAATTTTGAACGGAACTGGCGTGGAAACGGCGGGAAAGCCATCGTGAATTTGGAATCTGTCGGGTAGCTGGTAGTTGGTGATCCATTTGCGTCGTTCCAGAGGAATCGGCGCATCGTGGTCGGACACGTTTTCGACACAGAGGCCAAGGGGAGCCGTTTCGCAGCATACCGGCACCGTCACGGCGAACAAATGGAAAGCGTTTCCGTCGATTTAGGTCGGGCTGCCATGCCGACGTGAATAGCTTCGGCCACCGACAAACACGCTTTATCCGGGGCCACGATTAAAGAAGCGGCTTTGTTCGAATGAATAGAAAGAGCGGCAAACGCGAGTTTCTTACAGAAAAATGTTCCTGGATCTCGAACTGTTCTCAGAGACCTCGAAGCTCCGATTCAAATTTTCGGCCAGATTGAAACGCCTTTCTTTCTGAGTTTTCTCGCGACATATATCGAACTTTCTCCTTTTTAATCCTTTGCGACAGGAATCACGCACATTCTGGCCACGAGTAGTTGGATATCTGGTGCAATTTCGATCAAAACGTTGATATCTTTGTTCTATCGCATTTTCCATGTAAGAATTACATCGGAACACTGTACTTCTAATACAACCGTAGAAGAACGTTTGTTATCGATTATTATTTTATCGTACACAAATTATCGATATCTTGAGTTTTCTACAATTTTTGAAGCTTTTCTCCGTTTTTTTAAGGCAAGGGAAGTACTTTCATTTTCCCTGTGTAAATGTATATAGGTTAATAGCGAATTGGTATCGTTTGAATTGAAATTTCTGTAGAACACGAA